GTCTTTCTCATTAGTCAAGTAGGGTACAAGCTGAAGGGATATAATGATATTATGCAAGATTTCGAATTTACTTCAGCATGCCGTGAAATGAACTTGTATTTTTTATTTAACTAATACTGTATATGTGCCTTTACTTTCCTAGAAGGTACACACAGTAATGCATGATGTACTTTTTTTGTCTTAAGGGGGTCGAGCCAGCAGCCACATATAAGAACTTGGGATTGCCGCCAGGTTGGTACAAGGCACTCGAGTGGGTCTTTCCCACATGGGCTAGAACGCATGCTCTCGATCCTGGTGAAGCTGTTAATGTCTTAAAAGCTGCTATAGTGACTGCCGATAGGATAGTGACAGTTAGCCAGGTACTTATTAGGGGATGCTTGGATTTAACATGTTTTGATTTTGTTTGGTATTTTTGGTTTGGTATGGTTAATTTTGAAAAAAGTGGTATGGTTAGTTGTTAGTGGGACTTTGAGTTTATATTAAATTAATATTTAAAATAAAATAATCAAAGTTGATTTGATGTAAAAGTAGGAGAGAGATGATATGAGTTGATGGTTAGTTAAAATTATGTGAGTGGATGAATGGTGAATTAAGGTTGATGTAATGTGTAAGAATGATTGAGTAATATTATTTATTAGATTGATAATATTGAGAATAGTGGGGTTGAGTTAGACTTGAGTTAACAAAAATGATTGGTTAGAAATAATTAGATTTTTTTGGAAAAATTTGTATCCAAGTATGCAGTTAGTGTTACAAACTATATTTTCTTGGGTACATCTCTTGTTTTCTGGAAGATACGGAATTCCGAAGTTATGTAGTGCGAAGGATAACCAGCCATTGTTTATCAAGGTGCTGCTTGATTTCATTTATAATTTCAATATTTGGGACCCTTGATGCAAACAAGTCCTTTTATTACTTCTTGATTTTCTTGATTGTCAATTTATCCTTTGTTTCTTCAATGAATTTCACCTTTTTTCAGGGTTATTCATGGGAAATAACCACCCCTGAGGGTGGATATGGATTGCATGAGCTATTGAGCAGTCGAAAAACAGTTCTTACAGGTATTTTATAGATTAGAAAAGAAAATCGTGAATTGGTTAGCAATTCCAAGTTTGGTTTGTTTATTTGTTTTTTTAGCAACTTTTCTTTCACACAATGCATGAGGCACCATCAGAACTCGTCTAAAACTAATGTGAAAATGCAGGAATTACAAATGGGATCGATGACAGTGAGTGGGATCCATCAAGAGACGAGCATCTTGCATCTCACTACTCGGTTCAAGACCTCTCCGGAAAGGTTATAACTTTCATGTTGCTTCCAAATAAATCTTATGACCATTGGACTTAGGGGAAAAATAAATAAAAAAAACTGAAATTATGTTTGCTAAGTAGGAAACTGAAGTTGCATTTATTTACTTATTATCTGTTGCTATCCTCTTATTTATCAATTACTGCAGGCTGAATGTAAGCTAGAACTTCAGAAAGAACTTGGCCTTCCAGTTCGACCTGATTGTCCTCTGGTATAAAAAAAAGATATGCATATTTTTCATTCTTTGATTAGAAAATACAAGTGCTGTTGCTATTTGAATCGCTTTTTATTTATTTATTTATTTTTTTGCTATTTGAATCGTTTTAAGAGTTAAGTGTTCAACAGATTGGTTTTATTGGGAGACTTGACTTCCAGAAAGGCGTTGACATTATTCTTTCAGCCATTCCAGATCTTATGCACGACGATGTCCAGTTTGTAAGGAACTTTTGTTTATTTTTCTAATATAAGGCGCCTTTGTTCATTTATTGTGCTGCTTTAGAATGTGTATTCTTCTTGTGAATCAGGTTTAGGATAATATATTCATATTTTCATTTTGCTTTTTATGAAATTTTGAATATTTGTACGCATAAGGTAATGCTTGGATCTGGAGAGAAACAGTACGAAGATTGGATGAGACATTTAGAGTCGGTCTATAAGGATAAGTTTCGAGGTTGGGTTGGCTTCAATGTCCCGATTTCTCACAGGATTACTGCAGGGTAAATGATAAGATTTGTATTCTTCATTTTTGTAATGATCGGTTTATTTATGGATTATGAACAGTTTTAATCACGATTTTTTTTTTTGGGGGGGTTGTTTGATTTAAATATACATTTGCAGCTGTGATATACTCGTGATGCCATCAAGATTCGAACCGTGCGGTCTAAACCAGTTGTACGCCATGAAATACGGCACTGTTCCTGTGGTCCACAACACGGGTGGACTTAGGGTAAGATTCGGGTACTTAAGGGCTTGCTTGGATATGGATTTAATGAGTTTAGATTTTTTTTTTTTTTTTTTNCATATAAACAAACATGCACTATATCTCCCGAGCCCTTTATGCTCGGTTTTTTATAGCAATGTGTATTACAATACAATGATTGCTTTTGCATTAATCAGGACACAGTCAAGAATTTCAACCCGTATGCAGATGATATCTGCGGTGAAGGCACTGGGTAAGTATGCGATGCTCAAAATTCAATCGGACAAGATTTATTTATTTCCAGATCATTTAAAGAACAAAATTTCCACGGATTAATTGTGCTTAAATATTTTCCCGGGCTGTAATTATTACTACAGGTGGACCTTTACTCCTCTATCGAGAGAAAGTCTACTGGCCGTAAGTTTTATTTCATCGTGAACCTTATGGACCATTGCTATTATTGTAGATGGCTAATAAAACTTCGGATTTTAAATACCATTTTTTTTTTTCTTCTTCTCGGAATTTGGTGCTTTGCAGACATTAAGAATAGCAATTGGGACATACAAAGAGCACAAGTCTTCATGGGAAGGACTAATGAGACGGGGAATGGAAAGAAACTCATCGTGGGACAATGCAGCAAATAAATACGAGCAAGTATTTGAGTGGGCTTTTATTGATCCTCCTTACGCAGGCTGAGTTTTACGTAGCAAAAACGAGACGTAACTTATGCATTGAAAGCGGCATTTTGCTCGAACAACTCGTTAGATTTTATGTTTTTGCTATTTACTTTTAGAAGCCAAGTATTTTTTCAGGTTCATGATTTTGTATTTAGTTTTAGAAGCTAAAACAATATTTTTTTGGATGTGTAAACCATAAATGGAGACTGCATGATATGATTCAATAAATTCTGTTTCTAAATAATATATTATAATTCGTTCACAGTTCAAGAATTCTTGTTTCGGCAGTCCATACTCCATACCATCCACACATAGTATTATGATATTCAATTGAATTGGCGAATAGTATTATGATATAAGATTTACCATCCACACATAATATTGTGATATAAGTTTTCAATTTAATTGACGAATTAGTATTATGATAGAAGATTTACTATCCACTCGTTGGTATTGTGAAATAAGGTTTCAATTGAATTGGTTGTTCTTGTTTAAGAATTCTTGTTGGGGAAGTACCTATCATCTATAAGATTTTAATTTTTTCGTGTTTGAGCAACAAGTGTTTTTCAATGCGGCTAAAGTTCTCTAAAATTTGGAAGAAACGAGAGTGGTGGAAACTAGAGGAGTTTTTTGAACAAAAAGTAGATGACATGAGAGAGAAGAGAAATTTTGTGTGGTCACTTTTGTCCCACATCGGACACACTGTCAGAATATGTGGAGCTTGAGGACTATAAAAAAATAGACTGGGCTTGGTACAAAAGCATCTTTGCGCTTGGGGCAATGACGCAGCTAGTGAGGTTCTAACCGAGGCGCGTCTATTGCTGGTTGAAAACTATTTCCAAACCCCCTCTTGGGCCTGGGCTTGACCTAGGCCCTCGAGAATTTCTGGAAGGGCTCCCTTTTATTAGGGTAAAGCCCTACAATGTTAGTCCAATTTTTTTGTGGAGTTTCTAATTGTGCCGTGTCATACGGCCTGGGATCCAAGAAACTAGAGGCCGAAAAACCAACAATATTCCCGAATTTGAAAGGGAAAAACTTCAATTAACTTAAAGTATTAAAAAGTAGCTAATAATTTATTTGTTTTATAAAGGTTTATCCAATTTCTGACAAGGACAAAATTTACTTTAAATAGATTGTTAAAATTAAAAAAAAAAAAAAGAAAAATTCTTTATTAGCTCATGCCCATTCTTTTTTTCGAACGTGGTACTTTTGATATGTTAATCCAATATGGGTGTGAAGAATAAAACAATTTGGTTTAGAAAAATACCGTCTCCAATACATTCATATTCATTCGTTATGTATAATTTATTGGGTCATTGTTCCCAACTAGCACGTATTAAAATGGAAATAAAATTAATTTATCACACGATATTAAAACTCAATACAATATTCACCTGCAACACCTACACTATGCAGTCCGAAAACTGCCACACCAATTCATATAGCAAATGATATTTTTGACAGAAGTACAATGAGAAATTACATAATTCCAATTTTATTAAGAATTAGCCACAAGGAGTGAGCTTCTTATTGCCCGCACCACGTGGGTTTTCGTCTTTCCAGTCGTCCCAAGCTCTCGCCTTTTCTTGTGCATCATCATCATCATCATCATCATCATCATCATCCTGGCTTGGTCTTGATTGCCTGTTGTCATTGTACCAAGACGAGTTAGCTTCTTCCATTAGCTTCGCATTTCTTTCTTGCCATTTGTTCATTATCTCCATTTCCTTCAAACCCGCTGCCTCTATGCTCATCGTCGGCAATCTATTCATAAGAACACGAGAATCTCCGAAAATTTTATTCGACCGCTTATCCGCCCCTCAATATATAGTTTGAGGTAAAAATATTTGCCATATATACTGCAAAATTAAACGAGTTTGGCTCAGCTCGACTCGTTAAGGCGTTCGACTCGACTTGTTTGATAAACGAGCCAAGCTCAAGCGCATTTAAAGCTTGATTGGTTAACGAGCCGAGCTCGGCTCGACTCAATAAGGCTCGAAAAAAGAATTATTATATAATTTTATATAGTTCCGCTCGTTAAACCTTGAGATCGGCTCGTTATTACTTATTAGTGATAACGAGCCAAGCTCGAGCTTGATTTCAGGCTCGTTTATTTAACGAGTTGAGCTCGGCTCGTCTCGTTTAGGGCTCGAGCTCGTTTACAGGCCTAACCTGTAGTGAGGTTGGAAGACTTGAGCAGCAATTTTCTCCCTGTTGCTGGTCGGGTTTTTGCCCACGAGGCTTGCGGGTCCAAATATCATGGGCTGGTGCTTGTGTTCATGAGCTTGCGACACCTGGGCTCGACCTTCTAGAACATCCTGAGCAAAACTGGCACATGTGATTGGGGCAGCGGGTTTTGTAAAACGGGCCCTTGAGGCAGCATCACGGTGCCAGGCTTCAGCTTTCTTAGCGCGCTCATCCAGAATAGACTGTGAGATTTCATTTTCCCCTTCCTGCAGAATATTATGGAGTTTACTTATCATGATGCGCCATGGAAAATCAACTTTTACTAATAATTTGGCGAGAAAAGAACAGGGAAGCATCAAAAAAAAAAAAAACCTCTCCTGAAAGTTGTGCAGAAGAAAATTTGCATTTATTGGAGCAGAAAAAGAAATGAAGTCCCCCAAAACTGCCAGGATTTTCAACTCATGGGGTACCGGGATAATCATATTTTTTATTTTACTGATGTAATTAACAGTTTTTACTGTTCCTCAAATATAGGGCTTGGCTCAAGAACTATAATTTCCGAAGAAAGTGCACGTTTCATACAGATAAAACAAATACATAAATTGAAAGTATAACTTTGACAAGTTGATACCTGAGACTGCCGTTCCTTAATAGCTAAAAGCATTTCTTCTTCTTTCTTCAGCATTTCAAGCAAATCAAATGCCTGTATTAACGAGTAGAAAAATGATCTATCTGTACAAATGGACATAGGTAATATATACATTTAAGATAATAAACTTGAGAGCTGAAATTTTTGGGCCAACCTTGCAAAGTGCCAACGAGATGGTAGTTAGCCATGCCTGCGAATGAGAAGTATTATAGTTATGGATATTCACTAAAAGAATGGAGCGAATAACACCGCCTATAGACCAGAAACAAACAAATGCTAAGAACAATCACACACAAGTAACATAAACTAACAGTACCAAATAATTTTCATATCTCCACCATCATGAAATTATCAATCATACCCATTATTACCAGTAAATATACCTTGCTCTATAAAATTCCACAAAGGTATTTAACTATTTATAACCCTTAAGCAAACAGACCTCCCTTTCTTCTTCTCCATCATCATCCTCATTATCTTCTTCTCCAACCTCAATACGAGTAGATAACGTGGAAGCCTTGGTGGACCTCCCACGACGTTCTTTTCGTTCTCTTATTTCGAGCAGCTTTGACTCAGCAGCTTTCTGTCTTTTAAACCGAGCAATCTGAAGTAACTGATACAGTTAAATACTCAAGCAACATTTGCAGTTACAGTTGTTTGGCAAAACATTATAACCAGAGCTCAAATTCTGAATAATGTCAATTATGAGATTAGACTGTGAAATCCGAAATAAATTTCCCTATCTACCTTCTGAGCTCTCCTATCAGTAGATGTACTAGCCGTTGCTCGTGCAGATGATTCTAGCTCCTCTTCTGGTACGAGTTCCATTGCCTCACAGAAAGATATAAACTCCTGCAGATATTTATGGCTATGTAATTAAAAAATTGTATAAATGTGACAACTTCGTAAAAACATCTTGATGGAAACAAAAATGTGAAGAGAAACTGTTAGAATTAAGTGTTGGACGTGTGTATGTTTCTTTCTATTGGCAGTTGTATTCTTAAACAGTTATATTCAGTTTCCTGAATTTTCTCTTAGTGCAATAACTGACTTAGTGCCATGTCCCTCACCTTATGTAACTGTAGGCTTTAAGGTTCTCCGAGCTTGTATAAATATTGTACTTCTGCCTTCTCCAGCTAATGAGGAAAAATATAATGATGGCTTAGTTTACTCTTTCATATTCTATTGCTTTTCATTTCTTAATTATGGATCTTATTTCTTTTCATGGTATCAGAGCTAGTCCCTGGTGACTTGTCTCTGATATCTTCCTCCATTTTATTTTATTTTATTTATTTATTTTTATTTTTTGCTGATCTTGCTTTAAACCCAAAATGGAAACTTCATCAACATCTGGCAATGAGAACCCCTCACTTATCTCACCAACTCAGCCAGTTCTTATCCAGCCCCAAAATCAAGTTCTTACAGTGAAGTTAACAGAAACAAACTTCCTGATTTGGAGGCAACAAGTTTTGGCTGCAGTTAAAGGATATGGCTTGGAAAAGTTTCTTCTTGGTGAGCAACAAGCACCTTCTCAGTGTGTGCTTCAAGAAGGTATCTCAGTTCCAAATCCAGAATTCATAACCTATGAAAGGCAAGATCAACTTCTGGTCTCTTGGCTTCTCTCCTCTTTGTCTGAAAGTATTATGTCCTTGATGATTGGTTTGAATACTACCTCTGAAATGTGGACTGCTCTTCAAACAAATTTCTCTGGTCAGTCTAGAGCTAGAATCATGCAGTACAAATCTCAGCTTCAAACCCTAAAGAAAGGATCTTTATCTATGAGAGAATATTTGAGTAAAGTGAAGAGTCTTTGTGATGCTTTAGCCTCAGCTGGTAAGATTATACCTGAAGATGATCATATTATGCATGTCTTAACTGGTCTTGGAAGTGATTATGATGCTGCTGTGGTAAGTATAAATTCCAGAATTGAAGACTTCTCTCTTCAGGATGTTCATGCTCTTTTGTTGAGTGTTGAGAGCAGAATTGATAATACAAAATCTGCTGAAGAAGAAGTTAATCCAATTGCAAATGTTGTCACTCAAACTCAAAACAAAAAGGAGTACAACTCTTTTGGCCAGCATGGAAGAGGCAGAGGCTTTAATCAAAGAGGAAGAGGTTTTAGAGGTGGCTATAGAGGAGGAAGAGGTAGAGTTAGAATGGTTTGTCAAGTATGTCATGGAAATAATCATACTGCAGACAGATGTTACTACAGGTTTGATCCTTCTTATGGTCCACCTCAACACAATCCTACATCTTCTCAATTCAAGAACAATCAAGTTGGTGGCAACAGATCTTTCAACAACCAAAATATGAATGCTTTAGTCACAACTCATGATACTGCTCCATCTGAAAACTCTTGGTATCCTGATTCTGGTGCCTCAAATCATGTCACTCATGAACTTGCTAATCTCAACTTAGCTTCGGAGTATCAAGGAAATAATAAGCTTCATATTGGTGATGGCTCAGGTCTGAAAATTTCTCATATAGGTCATTCTAATATTAAGAGTCCCTACTTTAACCAGTCTCTTTCTCTTAAAAACCTGCTTTGTGTTCCTAAAATTACCAAGAACTTAATTAGTGTATCTCAGTTTTCAAGAGATAATAACTGCTTCTTTGAATTCTATCCTGATTTTTGTTCTGTTAAGGATCAGTCTACAGGACAAACACTTCTCCGGGGGACATTTAAAGAGGGGCTATATCAGTTTGATTTGACAAAGACCTTGCCAACTTCACCACAACTTCCAGAATCAAACTTCAGTCATTCACCTGTTACTTTTCTTTCTACCAGCAGTTCCAATTCCAAAAGGCAAGAGGACTTAGACATTTGGCATCAAAGATTAGGTCATCCTAGTTTTGACATTGTTGCTAAAGTTGTCTCTGATTGTAATCTTGCCATTGATATTAATAAAAGTGCTCTTTCCATTTGTGATGCTTGCCATTTAGCAAAGTCTCATAGATTGCCCTTTGATGATTCCTCTACTTCCTATCATGAACCATTTGAACTTGTTCATTCAGATTTATGGGGACCTTCTCCCGTAAAAACTAAAACAGGTCATAGCTACTATGTAAGCTTCAAAATTCACCAAATTCACTTGGCTTTATTTTCTGAAAAATAAATCTGAAGTTCACAGTGTATTTCTTCAGTTCAAAATCATGATAGAAACTCAGTTCAACAAGAAAATCAAAGTCATTCAATCTGACTGGGGAGGGGAATACAGAAGTTTAAACACATTTCTTAAAGATAATGGGATAGTTCATAGGGTCTCTTGTCCCTATACACCTCAACAAAATGGCACAGCTGAAAGGAAGAATAGGCATGTGGTTGAAGTTGGCTTGGCATTGTTGGCTCAATCTGGTATACCTCAATCTTTCTGGTTAGATGCTTTCAGAACTTCTGTTTATCTTATTAATAGACTTCCTACAAAAACTCTTCAATTCAAGTCTCCTTATGAAATGTTGTATCAGCAAAAACCCAACTACAAACTTCTCAAAACTTTTGGTTGTTTATGCTTTCCTTATCTCAGACCAATGAACACTCACAAACTTCAATATAGGTCTGCTCCTTCAACTTTTCTTGGTTATTGTCCTGGTTACAAAGGTTACAAAATCTTGTTGCCTTCTGGAAAAACCATTATCACCAGACATGTTACTTTCTATGAAAACAGATTTCCCTATATAGAAAAGCATAAAAAGGAAACTTGTGATAACACTCAAAATGATCTTGTAGCAACCCAAATACCCTTACTTCAATTTCCTATTGTTAAGAAACACTTTATAATACCTCCTCTTCAAACTGCTCAGAACAATTATTCACCTCAGTCAAATAGAACCGGTCATCATTCAAGCACTAGTCCTTCATCTATTCCTTCTAACTCTTCATCTTCAAATCTTCATACTCAAAGAACCCATGATTCCATTCCTCTTATAGTGGAATTACCTGTTGAGAAGAGTATTCAATCTGAGCCATCTCACAATAATGCTCATCCTATGATCACTAGAGCTAAAGCTGGGATATCTAAACCCAAGGTGTATGTTTCTGCTTATGATGAAAAAGAACCTCAGAATGTTGATGAAGCTCTTAATAATCCTAATTGGAAGAGAGCAATGGAAGAAGAGTTGAGAGCTCTCAAGAAGAACAACACCTGGAAGTTGACAAATGCTCCAGTTGATAAGAATATTGTTGACTGTAAATGGGTTTTCAGACTTAAGAAGCACTCTGATGGAAGCATAGCAAGATATAAAGCAAGGTTGGTGGCTAGAGGATTTACTCAAACACCTGGACTTGACTATTTTGACACTTTTAGTCCAGTTGTAAGATCAGTTACAATTAGAACTGTTCTTTCTCTTGCTGTCAGTTTTGATTGGGATATAAGGCAACTCGACATCAATAATGCCTTTCTAAATGGAGATCTTGATCAAGAAATCTTCATGAGTCAGCCTCCTGGCTTTCAAGAAGGATCTTCCTCAATGGTTTGTAAGCTTTCTAAGGCCTTATATGGGTTAAAACAGGCACCTAGAGCATGGACTGCAAAGCTGAAATCAATTCTTAAGACTTTTGGTTTTTCTTGCTCAATGGCTGATAACTCTCTGTACTTCAAATTTGGTAATGGCTCTTGCATCATTCTACTAGTCTATGTGGATGACATTCTTGTCACAGGTAGTAATTCAAGTGAGATTTCTCAACTCATTAACAATCTTGACAGAGAGTTTTCTTTGAAAGATCTTGGAAAAGTGCATCAGTTTCTTGGTATTGAGATCACTCACAATACTCAAGGTGTTCATTTATGTCAGAAGTCTTATATAAAGGAGCTGCTAAGAAGGGCTAATATCAGTCAAACCAAAGGATGTCCAACACCAATGGTCTCCTCTCCTCAACTGTCCAAGTACATTGGAAAACCTGAAGTGGATGTGAAGCTTTATAGAAGCATCATTGGAGGCTTACAATATGCTACCTTAACCAGGCCTGATATTGCCTTTAGTGTGAATAAATTAAGTCAATATATGCAGCAACCTTTGGATACTCATTGGAAATGTGTTAAAAGAGTTCTCAGATATCTTGCATCCACTCAAAACTTTGGAATTCAGATCAACAAAGGCAGCTCTCTTAATCTAACAGGTTTTTCAGACTCTGATTGGGCAACCGATATGATGATAGAAGATCAGTTTCAGGATTTTGTATTTTTCTTGGTGCTAATCTAATTTCCTGGTGTTCAAAGAAGCAAACTACAGTATCAAGATCTAGCACTGAAGCCGAGTATAGAAGTCTTGCTCAATGTGCTTCTGAAATGTTGTGGATCAAGGCTCTTTTGAAAGAGTTAAAGATATCGATTCAAAGAACTCCTATAATCTGGATTGACAATGTAGGAGCTGAACTTCTTGCAGCAAATCCAGTGATGCATTCAAAGTCCAAGCACATAGAACTTGACATTCATTTTATAAGAGAAAAAGTGGCAGCAAATGAGTTGAGAGTTCAACATGTTCCCTCTTCCCTCTATTGATCAAACTGCTGATGTGCTCACTAAAGCTTTATCTGGTCAATCCTTCACCAGAATGAGAAGCAAGCTTACTGTCATACCTCAACCTGGTTTGGATTGAGAGGGGATGTTAGAATTAAGTGTTGGACGTGTGTATGTTTCTTTCTATTGGCAGTTGTATTCTTAAACAGTTATATTCAGTTTCCTGAATTTTCTCTTAGTGCAATAACTGACTTAGTGCCATGTCCCTCACCTTATGTAACTGTAGGCTTTAAGGTTCTCCGAGCTTGTAATAAATATTGTACTTCTGCCTTCTCCAGCTAATGAGGAAAAATATAATGATGGCTTAGTTTACTCTTTCATATTCTATTGCTTTTCATTTCTTAATTATGGATCTTATTTCTTTTCAGAAACAAAGATAAAATTCTTTAAAGACAATCTGGCATTAACTAATACCTTTAACTTGGCTTGCGAAGCTTTCAGAACTTGAATCATATCGTCACGAGCAATTTTCTCCATTTTCTCCGTGAGTTCACCAAGGTAATATGGAACCTGCATAAACACCGTGACCATATATTTACCTTGCAAACAACAAATTACAAACAAGAAGTTGAACTCACCTCCACAGAACAGTCTTTGCCATTACACACCATATACATGTGGAGCAAATAAATAATACATCAAAGGTAAAAAATGTAAATATAGTAAGCACATCATCATGTTTACCACATTCGAACAATTCATAAATAATTCAAACTTCACTTTCTTAGATTAACGTTAACCAATAAAATCAAGCTAAAGCTATTGCAAACATACTGAGCTTTATCAATACAAAGACAAGAGTAATTCACCATATGAAATTGTCATTCTCCTACCAATATTGCACTATGAAACATTCATTCCTGTCCCGGTTCAAAAAACACAAAATGAAAATTGTCATGTTTTGCGCACTAAATCACAATCAAATTATCTGCTTAAAAATTTAAACCTCACTTACTTCCTCAGCAGGGATGCAAATAAAACATGGATACAAGCAACAATTTAAAAGGACAAAAAGAAAAAAAAAAATGATAGGAAGCTCTACAAAACTTCATTGCTTCGAATTCCAAACAAACCCAAAACAAAAAATCACAAAAAAACTCACGAGAAGATATTTGAGCTTAGCGGTGCTGATATCATCCTTCGTCTCATTCGCCGAGAACAACCCTAGTTTTCCGATCATCTCCTCGCATTTGCTCAGCAGCTCGCAGCCTTTAGTCAGTGCATCCTACAAAACAGACAAAATGAAAACAAGAACACCATTAAAATCAAATACAAATACAAATACGCAGCTTCTCCTAATCGGAAACACAGAAAACTCGATCGAAAATAACCTGATCGACGGAGGAATCTGATGCGGCTTGGTGAATTTTCCGAGCCTGCTCGAAAAGAACGGGTAGAGACATCTCCTCCATGCTTAATCCCACCATTGATACAATTGACACTGAGAAAATAGCTTACTGAAAATTTGTAAATGGGAAAGACAAAATTGAACTTTTTATCAGCAAAATTGGGCTCCAGAAAGGTGTAGATGGGGATCGGGAATTCGGGATATCAGAGAAGGCGCTGGTTATCATCGTGCGCCACCCGCGTACGTTAGAGTCTGTCCATGCGGTGACTTCACTCGTGGGTTTTCGTTAGAGTCTGTCTATTCCTTAATGGATCCAAACATAGATAAAAAACGTTGTAGAAGACAGATAGATGGGCCGAATCCCAAATCCAGCCCAATTTGATATAAAATGATAAAATGAATCTGATCAGGAAAACAGATTTGGATGGTCCAAATTGATGTGAATTGAGAGATTCATATATATATGGATCAAATCAAACTGAGACAGTGGGACACCTCAACACAGTAATGCTATCTACTGGCACATTCATTCTTGCCATGTTAGGGTCAAGTGGAGATATATATTAATAAAGTTTTGAAAGAATAATAAACATAGATTCAGAAAATGAGAATATGAGGTCAGTAGACCATAAATCCTTCATGTGATATGTCTTCTAAGTTCTAAGTAACTGATGCATCATATCACTTTCAAGAATTTGTGTTAAGACTTTAATACTAATTAAAAAATTGAATGGTTGGAAGTTTTGGGATAAATTGAATTTTCCATAGATAACTAGATAAAGGGAGATAGATTATATACACAATCCCACTCAAATTATTTGAGCCTTCAGCTTCAGTCACTAGCACAAATCTTCATTTGTTCCCTCTTTTTGTGGCATGCTTTAATTAGTCAAGGCTTTTCTAGGTATGATAATTAATATGATGAAATAATGGACTTTTTTTTATGGCCACAAACAACCTTATGTTGTAGGTTGCTAGCTAGAATGTATAGTACTTCCAACTCTATACAATATTGATCCATCATGTTTGTTACACAAGCAATGTTTTTGGTTGATGTAAATTTGGATAGATTAAATCCTTAGTGCCCTCATCGAGTTTTTTACCATTAGTCTCTCACGCACACTCCCACACGGATTCGTGTTGATCCAATGATAAAAAAAACTCGACGATCATGGTAGTAGATACGAAATTTCTGTAAAATTGTATGGTATTTCTATTGCCTCGAAATTGGGAAATATTTTTTTAAAAATAGTCTCATTGAAATTCTATTAATTCATAGTAGTCTCAAAATTTTTAGAATTAACCAAAACCAAATTTTGAAGGGGACAAACATGTAAACAATTCCCATCATAAAAATAAAGAAAAAGAAAAATTATGAAAATGGAGAGGAGAATGCTTTTAGCATAACTTGTTTCATTCAAACTCCCATTGAAAACCACATTTCATCTACATCAATACACTAGCAATTAAGCACATGACATTCAAAACTAACAGAAGAGTAGAAACACCACACATCTAATCTAATGCCCCTTAACCATTAACTTCCATAAATTTTATTTCCAAACCATTGTTCATTAATTCAAAATTGACCCATGGCTTTCCTCCCACATTGAAAAGCCATAAAAACCACATCCTTAGCTAGTTGGACTAGCCGTTACCTCCCTCAACTCATTACTCGTGAAATAGTTCAACCCTAGGAGCCTCTTCATTTTCATAATTAATTAACACCAATATATATATAGAGAGAGACACACACACACACACACACACAAAATAGAAAAAAAAAAACATTTTAGCTTAATATTTTATTTTTCTTTTCATGGGTGAGCAAAACTCATCAACACCAAAACTCTCACTATCTAAACTCCCATGCAAGCAAAGAGAAGCCAAACAACAAATTATGCTCACACCACCAATACAATCCCACGTGTCGGTCCCTTTTCGGTGGGAGGAGGCTCCCGGAAAGCCGAGGCCGGCCACCACGGAGCGGCGGCCGGCCGCCGCCAGGTGTCTCGACCTGCCGCCGAGGTTGGTAGTCGACGAGGCAAAAATTACGATAATGCCCTCGCCGGAGACCGTGCTCGACGGGCCGTACGTGGGCCGGTCTTTGTCGCTCGCGTGCACGTTTTCCTTCCGAAAAGTGGCGGTGGCGGGCGGCAGGGAAGAAGGGCTCGGGCACCGGAGTTTTCGGGAAATGGAGGGGTCGTCGGGCAGGGGTACTTTCGTCATTTCGCACACGTTGGGGGAGATGTTCAAGAGCGAGAGGAACGTGAGGGTCACGAGGGTTAGGAGGAGGAGGAGCTTCTTTAATTTGGCCACCGTCAATTCTAACTTGTATGGCCATATTTCTACTACTCTCTTTTTAATATAGTCTTTGTGGTATATTTTGTTAGCAAAAATATGTTACATAGTTCTTATTCTTTTTTAAATTATATATATTAAAAAGAGAAAAGCATGACCATTTGACTCGTTAAAATTGATGTGTCTAATCAAGTTTGGTGGATAGCAATAGTAGATAAATGCTTAATATGAATGAGTTGATAGCATATATTTGATTGAATTAGCAATTTTGACTGATTGAATTAATTGATTATACAAAATGTTGGGTATATACATATAATTGATTAATTGTGTTTGATATGAAAAACAATTCATTTTACAGTCAGTCATAAAAGAGGTTATATTTTGTGTTGAGATTTTTCAAATTTATAATCATCTACTCCAAAGAAGGGTTATATTTTCAACTTAACATATAATTGAGTTTTTTCGAAATTATTTTTTGGAAATTTAAAAAAAAAAAAAAGAAGCAAAACTCAATAAAGTCTATGATTAGCCCGTAAAACGTCTCGAGATTAAAGCCATTGCGGATGATATAACTAGTAAATATATTCCGCCCCATGTCACACATGCTTACAAAACTATTAAATTAAATGTTCTTATGAATCACACTTCTGATTCGCTTAAATTTAGTCCGGAAATGTTGATTATCAAATAACACTAATAGATACTATATAACAACTTGTTTTAATTAACTAATGTTGTGACAGGTTGGACATTTGTGGGAGCTTCAAGCATGCTATTCCATGGAGGCGAAGAAGACGATGAAGTTCGGGCACAAATATGGGTTGACCCGATTGTCTTTTATTAGTCAGGATATATATAACATTAATTGGCTAGTAGTGGTTCATGTGAACCCTCAAAAATCAGAATTAAATGGCTAGTAGTGGTTCATGTGAACCCTCAAAAATCAGATTATCCGAAATTTTAATACTTGAACTAAATTATTCTTTCCCATCTTAATATCTTAAATTGGTTTTCATAATTAATTTAATTAATTTTATCTAGGCCTGATTGGTACATTTCATTAGGTTGGATCACAAAATCATACGCCCAAATTTAGTAAACCCAATTACAAAGTTGTCAATTCTATCCAACTCTTACTCATTAAAGATCGAGACTACTCAACGAGTCAGTAATCAATTTCGAGTTCGACTCATTTATTAAATATTAAAGAATCGAATTATAAAAATAGAGATGTTAACTAAACAAACTCAAACTCGATTCTTGGTCAATTTCGTTTAATAACTCTACTTAAAAACCACATGTAAATGTATTCACATGTTATTCATACTTTTTTTAATATGTTTGTATATTTCTACATTGAAGTGTTATATATTAAAATATTAAAACAAAATATTATAAAATAACATAAATAACTAGTTCATATTTAATTTTAAATATTTTTATTCAAAATACTATGCATAACTTTAATTTAAATTTTTTATTGATTCAGTTCTAATTATTCCGAGATGATAAATTAATAAACTAATGGTATAATCCGCTTGGCCCGCCATTAACGGCACTGACTATTAAATTAATTAAACCGAAATTTTGTGCTGAAAGCAAATATTATTACCCACACTAATCATGATTTCCATTTTCCAACCCTGTGATGTCCTATCTATAATAAAATAATTTTTTTAATAAAAAATTTTAATTTTTGACTCTAATTTGGGGAGTTCTTGATCAAGACAAAAACATTTTCCAAATGTCATCACCTTTTTTTTTAGCAATGTGAAAAATTGTTTTATACTTTTACTTCTCAATCCACCTATTTTGTGGGTGGTATAGCAATGAAGTTTTTTGGTCCCACGGTAAAATATTATAATTTATATAAAATAGTGTCTCACTATTAGGAAAAAAGCAACAATAAATATTCATTTATCAAAACATATACATTTTTGTTGAAAGATAAGTACTTTTTTTCTTTGAAGAATTTAAATGGTTAAGTAATTGAATATTTTTTTTTTTTTCGGTACAATAAGG